TGACGAGAGTAAGGACAGCCTCGTGCACAGAAGAAGACATTAATCTTCTCAAATCCAGGGTCATAACCAGAACCGACCCAAGCTATCCATCAGAAGCGCTGCACGTTTTCAAAACCAACAAAGAGGTAGATAAGCACAATGCCAAACACCTGACAACACTTTCATCAAAGGTGTTTGATATTAAAGCCATCGACTCGAAGAAAGATCTTCTAACGGGTCTAACCAATGTTGCCATGCCCACCAAGCCAAGTGACACGAGTAACTTGCGAGAAGTCGTGTCTGTAGCCGTGGGGGGCAAGAGTGATGGTGACTGACAATATTGACGTTGCAGATGGACTTGTAAATGGAACTATTGCAACAGTTGTTGGCATTGACAGCACAGGCCCTTATGTCCATACCATCCTGGTTAAATTTGACAGTGATCGTGTCGGCAAACAAGCCATCGCCGAGAGCCAATATAAGCAGGCTTACCCAGGAGCAGTACCCATCAAAAGGCAAAGCGTTCAGTTCTTCACTGATAGGGGAAGACGGTCGGTCCAAGCACAACGTGCTCAATTTCCACTGTCATTAGCATGGGGCTGCACCATCCATAAAGTTCAAGGCAAGACATTGGACACAATTGTTGTCTCAATGGAAAGCAAAGGTTGCTTCATGCCTGGCCAAGCTTACGTTGCCCTCAGTCGGGTGAAGAGCCTAAATGGGCTGTATCTTTTGGGGTTTGAAGCAAGTGCAATTCGTGTAAACCCAGCTGTACTGTCAGAAATGAGCCGCCTAAAACAAGAGCTCGTCCTGAAGGCTCCACTACCATCTTTCACCGCTACTCGTGGCACTTGTCTCAGCATCAAGTTACTCAACATACGGTCTTATACGGAACATCTGCAAGACTTAAAAGCAGACAGGTCGACACTTCCTGTTGATGTTTTCTGTTTCGTTGAAACCTTTCTGCAAAAGCATCAACAGATTGAACTATTCATTCCAGAAACTCGAGCCTTCAGAGCAGAGAGAATAGGAAGAGGCGGTGGAGTCATGAACCTTGCCAAACAAGACGTTAATCCCACAGATCTTCATATCGCAGTCCAGGGACTAGAACACATAGCTACCACTGTCACCAAAGCATCCACCACAGTCAACATCATCAACATCTACAGACCGCCCTCCTTGCCGGAAGCAGTCTTCATCGGAAAACTGCAAAATCTGTTACACCAACTTCCCTGGAACATCATGACAGTTATCCTCGGTGACTTCAATTTTGATCTCTTGAAATGCCCACCTCCCCAAATTCTACCTGTTATGAGGCAGTTTGGCTTCAGCCAACAGGTTCAAGTTCCTACCACAGATTATGGTACCCTTCTCGATCACGTCTACGTACGTGGCCATGGACAAGACAGCGTTCAAGTCAGTGTTCAGGACACATATTACACAGACCATGACATGGTGTGTGTTTCCTTGATGCTAACACATCAGACTGCTTCTTAGGTAAACTATGGATCCACTGTAAATAACACAAAAACTTGTAGTTTATGGTTTGACATGTTCAATATGCATGCATGACAGCAGCTTCCTTTGTGCATCAAATTCAAATGCTCTTCCAACAAAAACACTAATTACTGGCAGCTTAGCATTGATTGTAACATTCTATTTCTCTGAGAATTGTAAACTGTATATAGTAGACACATTCGGTGTACATAATAAATCAATACCCATCAACTAGATAAACATATAATGTAAAATTGCCTAGAACAAATGTATATTTGATAAACAAGATGTATACAGTTTGATATTATTGTATTTATAAAGAAAGTTCATAATGACATTTATTTACTCAAACTGCTTATTTCAGAATTATGTATTTCATTATAAATTTGTCAAGAAAATGAATTTGTTTCCTGCTAATCTTTTCTAGCTACTCTCATATTTTTGTTAAGTGCAATGGATAGCAAATATGAGATTTGGTTGCCAAAGATACTGTAGCAGTGACGTTCTTTGCACCACTTCCATATATTCAATACGGTTTGCTTGGGATCTCAAGTCTGCAAACGAGGCTCTTATTTCCATACACGATGACATTCCTGATTTGACACTACTTGGCGAAGGTATGAGATCGTGGAACTCTAGTTTTTATATACTTTGCGTAGCATCCAAATATTTAAAAAGATTTTCTTGTATAATCAGTTTTCCGAGATGAGGAAGAGGACGAGGAGGCTAGCTCTACCCCTACTGGTGGTTCTAGCCATCTCCGTGTATCTAATGGGGACCGGCTCCAGGAAGGGCACACCTCCGGACAGTGGACACCGTGTCATCGAAGAGTCCATAGGTAAGGATTGGAACCGGAAGTTCGGGAAGGAGCATAGGCAGTAGCCTTGAGCCCAGTCTTGTTAGCTTGGTCCGCTGCCAAGATCCGCTAACGACCAAATCTGAAAAGGGCGACTCCAGGCCACCGAGTTTGTGTTGGAATCGATGTTACACTGTGACCACATCGGCATAAAGTACTTTGCCTGTACGACATACGAAATGCGTTGTGCAAAGCACTTCGGCAGAGCGTCTCGCCTAGGTCGCATTCGCGTATTTCAACGGACGACATCTTGTGTATACTTTTGAATGTTGTGTCGGAAAATACATAGTCTGCAATAGAAAAATATAACGTAGAAATAAATATGAAAAAAATCCGTGTATCGGGCATGTCATACTCAAGGAAAGTATAACACGTATCATTGTATTCACCATCATTATACTTACGTTATATGCAATTAGACCGCAGGTATGTTTTTGCGATAACTCCATCATAAAATTGAAATTAATCTGAGTAAAACATACTGAAAAATTGATTACTATAGAAATCAATAAAATTATTCTGAAGTCAAAGCAAACTTTGATTTGGAATCCGTATTAATGTCTTTATAGTTAACCAAATTAAGAATCAGTTTGCACTGCCTAGAAGTAGCAAAACGGAGACGTCCTTCATGTCAAGAAAATGTTGAAGATAAATTTCATTTTCTAATGGCCTGTCCAGCCTGTAATGCAGATAGACGAAAATTAATTAATATAGTCACATGTATAATTTGAGTAAACATTACCAAAGACAAAAAAATGGACATTTCATATCGAGTTATATCATGCCCCGACTCCATATGCACGTACTTAGAAATATGTGGAGTGCCGTACAAAAACTGAATGCATTTTGACAGACAGAAACATTTAATGTACACCGTGTAAATAGCCCATTGATGTCCATATTTCTGTAACTTTGTAGCTATACCTTCTTAGAACAGACTAGTAATATTGTATTGATTCTATTGTCATTGTTGCCGTACCTTGTACAACTATCTAGCAATAATGTTACTTTGTTTGTTCAATATTAATGCTTCAGCCATGCCAAACATAGAGATTGAGGAGGCCTTCCGCTCAGCAGCAGACAAAAACGCGCCACTTTACCAATACGACAAGGATACAGGAAAGTTGGAGCTCGTTGCGAATCCCAGGCATACTCGGGATATTTTATGTAAGTTACTTTCTAATTGTTTTTGTACTGCACAAGTTCTCCACCGAATCTTGATTTCCTTTCACAGATCGAGGGCAACTCTTAGTGTTTAAAGCGTGTCCTTTAAATGTTATAGAAATGTATTTGTCATCATCATGACATTTATCACAATCATCATTACAACAATTCATCATCATTGCCATCATCTTTATTACTAGCACATTACTATGACAATTG